ATATGAAAGCTGAATGTTTGGGAAATCCAACATGTATTAATATATTACTGTGGTTTTATCCGTTTGGCTGTAATTCGTGTTCAAACTTTAAAAAATGGTCGAAAAAGCAGTGTTTTACATTTCATTGATTTTCTCGATAACTCTAATAGATAGAATGAATGCAATAGATGCATATGAAAGCTGAATGTTTGGGGAATCCAACATGTATAGATATATTACTGTGGTTTTAGGCGTTTGGCTGTAATTCGTGTTCAAAGTTTAAAAAATGCTTGAAAAAGCAGTGTTTTTACATTTCATTGATTTTCTCGATAACTGTAATACATAGAATGAATCCAAGTTGCATATGAAAGCTGAATGTTTGCGGAATCTAACAAGTATCGATATATTATTGTGGTTTTAGGCGTTTGGCTGTAATTCGTGTTCAAATTTTAAAAAATGCTCGAAAAAGCAGTGTTTTCACATTTTATTGATTTTCTCGAAAATTATTATACGTAGAATGAATCCAAAAGATGCACATGAAAGCTGAATGTTTGGGGAATCCAGCAAGTATCGATATATTACTGTGGTTTTAGCCATATTGCTGTTATGCGAGTTCCTTTTATGAAAGGGGAAGCGTCAAATGATTACATACTTTTGAGGGAGGCGTAGTAACTTCAAGTTTGGAAACTACTGACTTAAGGTATATGTAGAACAAAATGTGTAAATTAAAGCTAAAACTATAAAGAATATTAAATTTGTTTCAATTTTCCATTAGAAGTGATTCATGCTTAAATATGAACACTAGAAATTGAAAACTTTGTAATTGAAATAGTCTTCAGACTTTAGTGTATAACTTGATAACCTATTTGAGGTAGATATAATTCAAATTATGTAAATTGAAGCTAAAACTATAAGGAATGTTAAAGTTGTCACTATTTGAGGTTAGGATTGTTGGGGATAAAAACAAATGAAATAATTTGTTTTTTGTATAACATTCATTTATTTTGATTGGTGCAGTACGCTTAAACATAAAATCGTGGCGAAAAGGTAATAATAACAATAATTGATTTTAGATTGAAGAAATAACACATCATTTTTCCTTAAGATTACTTAACAAATAGTTGCAAATAGAAAACTTATCTAGTTATCGGCTTTCGAGTTCCTCCTGGAGTTGAACTGCCTGAGGAGAGCCTCGATGTCGGGATTTCCGAAGGAGGTGGCGTGGCTGCTGGCGATTCCACCCTTTCCGGTGCTGTAACTGTTGGCGATGGCGACGGTTCCTGGTCTGTAACCCTCACCGCCGTTCCTCTGGGCGCCTCCAGCACCACCGAAGTAGATCGGGAAGAAGCTCGAGTATCCCGGGAAATCGTTGCGAGATCCGTGATGGACTTGTTCCTCCTCCTCTTCTTGTGGCTTAACAGCTGGCTTACGCTTGGCGGAAACCTTCTTCGGCTTAACAGTGGTGGATACTTCATCTTGTTGCTGCTGTTGCTCATCTTCAGCTGCGGCTTCGGTCTCCACAGCTTGATCATCCTCGACGGCGTCCTGTTCTTCTTCGCTGCTGTTATCACGGGAGGCGTAGGCGCTCATCGAGCCACGTGGACCGTTCTCGTTTCCATAGAAACCTCCGGTGATCATCATGGCTTGCTTCGGATGCGACCTCCTCGGTTGTCCGTTGGTCAAGGCGGCGACGAAAGCGACGAGAACGAAAAGAGCAATTGTTTTCATCTTGCTTTGTTTTGTTTTGTTTTGTTTTGATTGTTGTTGGTTGCTGTTGCAGTTGGATGAGTGCACTGATTTCCTCCGGATCCGAAGATCTTTTTATATTGCGAAATTCGAGTTCTCCCACCCACAAACAACAACCCTGTCAATCAAAATTCAGTACGTGGATCCACTGCATAATCGACATTCATCATCGTACAGAGTGTGGCGTGCACAATCCACAACGTTACGTTACGTTACGGAACTCATTTGTATTGCTGCTGTAACGCGATTTTAGTTTTTCCAAAAAATCTTCAACACCTGCCGTTTCCAGTAACCAATTCTGCACAGATCACAAAACCGTTACACTTACCAACATTTAACACTTTCAAAACTATACCGAAAACACAACATAATTGAGAATCTAACAGATTTTGATAATTAGAATCTAAAACTTTATCTAATATCACTAAAGAGGATCAAAGACGCTTTAAATCTCGAATATGTTCTTTAGTTAGTTACAATTGGTAACTCAAATTTTAGGTAACGACTTTAGTTATTAACAAATCTTTTGAAATGTTGTATTTCTTGGAATATTTTCAATATTAATTAGAGTTAAAACTATAAGAATTGCAATAAAACTAATTGCGTAATCATAAAGTTGATCAATCAACAAATAATCAAATTGTCCTTGGATTAGCACAAAAAAAAGTCAATCTAGAAATCTCTGGAGAAACAATCGATAGAATCATGATGATCGTAGACGGCTGTCGTAGACGTGATTCACCTATTAATTATCCCGCAATTAGCGGTACGTTTCTGTTTTTTTTTTTTCTATATACAACTAATATATATTTAGTTATTTCTTTTTTTTTGCTTTGCTTTGAGAACAATCAAAATTCTTGCGGAGGAATTTTTTCTTTTTTTTTTTGTGGGCTATTGTTTCGAGCGAAGCGACGCGACGCTCGGAATATCGAATGCGACGTCTCAATGCTAATAGCTAGAAAAGTGTTCATCGCATAACAGAAATTGCAAATCTAAGGGACCTTCGATGGATCGCGTTTCTTTTGTTTTTCCCTGTTTTTGCACACACTTCGATCGATTTACGCCGTGTCGCATATTTCCACGAATGTATCAAACATTCCCGTGGTTCTCGTCTCATTAAGTGCATGTTTCTTAGCGCGACGTGCATTTAAACAGTGCATGTAGTGTGCATGAGATGAAACCAAATCGATTATTTCAATTCCATAAGTTATTTGTACAAACTAAATAATCCATTTTTCTAAGTACTTTTTTAATACACTTAAGTCATTTAGACAAAACTTTAATTTATTAATTTCTATAATTAACTACGAACTGTAATTACAATTGTAACAACAAAAAAAACAAAAGAGGGAGAGAGAAAAAACAAAAAAAAAAACGTATCAATGTCACTAGATTAACATTTTCGAAGAGTAGGCGCTGGTTCGTATTCAAATGTATTTGCCGGAGGTTGCGAATCCAAGAATTCCAACATAATTTCTTATTGTTGCAGTGTCTGTTGTCTCCTGTTTCTCTTTTTTTTTCTTTTTTTTTGTCGTCGTCTTGGAAACTACCGTTTCTATTGCGCAACAACATTAATATATTATCGGAAGCATTTGTTTAATTCTTTGTGTGTTTTTTTTTTTGCTTGTTGGTATTATCTGCAGATTTTTTTTGTGCGTAGCGCGTCTTGAATAACAAATGCAACGAATAAAATACACATCGCGGTTCATTGTACTTGCATTACGTATTAAATATGTACATATTTTTGATGGATTTAATAAGAAAAAAAAATGTAATTTTTTTGGAAGTGGTTGGTGGTTTTAAAAGACGTTTCTCGCTACCAGATTTGTGCAGTACTAGGTTGACAGTTGAATGGGTGGTATCTATGATTAAGACTGGTAACGACATCTATTTTGTTTCTATGAAATAATTCAAATGCGAATTCCTCGAAGATCGAGATTAAGTTTAATTGAAGATGAAACTTTATATGATGAAATGACACTGATTGCAGGAGTGTTGATTTCGTGATTGTTGAGGGAATAGGAGAAGAGAACCCTAAATATGCAAATGAAAGGTGCGTCATCTATTGGGGGGTATCGAATAAGTATAATATAACCCATCATCTCCGCTCCGCACAGATTTATAGCGCTATTAACATTCCATCTGAAGAAACGAAAAACTTCAATTTAAACCCGAAACCGTAATATTTCCGAAAACGAGGAAATCGATGATTACGATCGCCCCGAGTGAAAAATGGTTTCTCGATGAGGCATATAAATCGATGTTTATTCTTCATCGGAACGCGCGCCGGGCGCTTCTCTAAACAAAACAGAAGAGAAAAGGAGAACAAAAAAAAAAGGTGGTAAATCGATTTTGCATCCATTGTCTGAGCGTGAAAATTTCAATTTCACGCCTGCATCTCTCTTTCTCTCTCTCGTCTGTCCAGAATATAAAAGAGAGAGAAAGAGAGAGATGCGGCGGCGGCGGTGGCGACAAACGGTCAACATCGGTAGACCAGAAGTGATTTAATTTGGACCTAACCCGGAGAAACAGAAGAACATCGCGACGGGAGGTGCGTGTGTGTGAATGTACCTGAAGAGGAGAAAATAATATGCATGGCTATGGAAATTTCGGACCACCCACAATGCTAATCAATGTTTCTTCTCTTCTTTTTTGGTATTTCCTTAATGGAAACGCGCACTCTACAAACGCTAAATGCGTTGCATAATTTTCCGATAAACTATGACAAAAGAAACAAAATCGAATCACTTTATCGATTGTTACAAATCGCAGTTACCTTATGGTTGCTATGGAAATAATTGCAGTAGTCATATTAAGAAAGAAAAACATGTAATCAGGGGGCCTGCACAGGATAGGGCAAAAACTTTTATTTTGAGTTGGTATTAGCTACTTACCATATGTTAGAGAGAAGAAGATTTTTTTAGTGATTTCAAATGTTTACTTCCGTTTGTTTCTCGATTACAAATTTTTTTCAAGTTATCCGTGATTAAGCGTAAGTTTGTTTTATTTCGCCCATTTTTGTTTCGCTATTGTCAAGAACACAAGCAAGTAAGTAACATTTCTATTATTCTTTATAATATATGTATATGTATGGTCTAAGAACAATTTAATTAATATAGTTGTGTATTAGAATGGTTTATAGTTGTTGCGAAAATTTATTAATTTTCGTGAAACATCTATGAGTAGAAGAGTATGTGGACAACATTGGAGAGGTAATTAATCTATTTTTAAATCACAACTAATCAATGTTATTTCTTTAGACTCGATGGATCAAACATGAGTAAACGTGAACCATCTATGATGTAATATTCTTAAATAAAAACATTTTTTAGTTAAATTTTGTTTTATTTATTTATATTTTAATATATATAAATAATATATATATATATAAAAAAAGTTTTATACTTTATTTATTTAAGGTTGGTATTAACGGATTACTATTTTCTAGTTCCCCCCAAGGACGAGTTTTTAACTAGCAACTGACGGTCCCCTGCATGTAATGCGAATAAATAAGAAAGTTTTCATTTGCGTAATGACTTATATTTTCGGAAAAGCTTTTACTTCGTTTACTAAAGTTACTAAAGAACATCTTACGCACTCTAAAAGACTTAGTAGCAACTGTCATTTATTATGACATATATATATAACCATGGTAGTAGGTTGCTAAGGATACCTTTTTGTTGTTATGAATAATATCACGGTTGTCTTTTCAATATTATGAATACCATATCGGTCGCTAAGTGAAACATAAACGAAGCGAGTAAAAACAAAAAGTAGATGGTTTACTTTGTTGGCAAATATCTATCGAAGATGAAGATCAAAGAGGGCCACTGTCTGGTGCGATAAATATTTGCACTGGCGACGCAAATTATAAAACTGCAACAATCTTTTCATTATTTATTTTTTTTTCTTGAATTCTCTTCTCTTTTTCGTTAACTTTTCGGACGTTATTGTGCGATCGGTGAAATAGTGTGAGAATCGGTGTTTGCTGTTGCAATTAGAGTCGCAGATGTTTGTGAATTCCGGCTGTCGGTTGTGCGGTGCGAGAGGAGAGGAGAGAAGAGAGAAGGTTTTTCGGAGTGAAGAAAGAGGTGGATGGACGACGAGGCGCCAGCCTTCATCATGTGTGGGACGCTGGAGGAACGCCCGCGCGCGCTATCCACACGCGAATCTCCGTCTCTCTTTCTCAAGCATCGTCGTCATGGTGATCTGAAGAACAAACCGCGAGAAACCAAGGTGCATTAATCTTCGTGCTATGGCGACGCCGATCAACAACAAACAACTGAACAACAGCAACAACAACAAGGGAGGCCTGCGTCGGCCGACTTCTTAGATCTAACTGTTCCGCCCCCG